CTCATGACATTTTCTCTGAAGAGCACAAATGGGAAAAACAAACAAATTACAGCAGTGATGGCTAACCTTTTTGTCCTCGCGTACCCACAGCCATAATGCAATGCGCCCCCCCCCCCCCCGGTGCATGTCCCGGTGCTCGCCCCGCCCCCGTGCATGTGCTGTCATCTCCCGCATGCACAGCAGAGACCTGAATATTGGCTGGCCGGTGCGAGGTGCACACCCATGCGCAGTGGAACTGAGCTGGGCAACAGCTTGCGTGCCATAGATTCGCCTTCACGGAACTAGAGGCTGTGCTGTCCGTGCAAGGAGAAATATGTCTCCCAGAGCAGGGGTCTCCAACCTTGGCAACTTTAAGACTTGTGGAATTCTGGGAGTTGAAGTCCACAAGCATTAAAGTTGCCAAAGTTGGAGATCTTGCTGGCTGAGGAAGTTGCCAAGGTTGCTGGCTGAGGAATTCTGGGAATTGAAGTCCACAAGTCTTAAAGTTGCGAAGGTTGGAGACCCCTATCCCAGAGCATCTTCATGTCAATCCAACAGCTATGGAAACTAGCAGTGATGTCCGAATATTGACATTATGCCTTGAAACAATGCATCAGACCCAACTACCCACCTCCATGACTGCAAGGTCAAAGAAGTGGATTTGGTTTCACCTTGTTTATCAACAAGGCAAAATTGTACATAGCCTCATGTATCAGCGCCCATAGAAGGTTTAAAAGTCTGCATTGCTTTGATTACAACATTAACTCAAGACTATTTACCATATTTTTTGGAGTATAAGACGCACTTCCTAACCCCTAAAAGAGGCTGAAAACTTGGGTGCGTCTTATACTCCGAATGTAACTTTGTCAAAGCTTTTTTTCAGCCCTAATGAGCTGCTAACAAGTGAATCAATCTTCAGTGCATTGCCTGCTTTTCTCATTGCTTCTCTATCCAACGATCAGCTGTGCTTTAGAAGCTGTTTTTTATCCCCAACTAGGAGATAAAAAGAGCTTGCTTGCTCAAAACCAGAAAACTTATGTGCTGAAGCTGACCAGACTAAGGACGCTAGCCAGAAGAATATCTGGTAGGCAGAATTTCCCCCTCCCCTATTTTCCTCCCCCAAAACTAAGATGCGTCTTATACTCTAAAAAATACGGTACATACAGCCAATAATTGCAATGCCCTTAATGAGTTTAGACTGAGCAATCTGTTCAATGAGCTCCCAAACTTAGTCTTCAGCCATCTGTCATCACAGTTAGCCATGGGCTGAAGGAGCAGTCCTAAACCAGATTTTGGGGTGAATGTCCATAATGGAAGTCGCTGAAAGACCAGAATGGACAGGCAAAATCAGACAATGTAACTCTGAGAGAAACAAATGCTAGAAGCGGAATGGGACAACTTGCCACAGCCAACTTGCCGCGGAACAATTCAACAAATATAAAAGTTACATTAATTTTGACAGAGCTCTGACCAGTAATAATAAAATAAAGTCACCCCACAAATACAAGTGTTACGATAATCTCGACAAAAGCGTGGTCACCAATAGTAAAAGAAACTGAATGGAACAATTGATACAACATTGAATTGAACTATGGTGAGTTGGCCATGGTGAGTTGTCCTAGACCTGGTGCCAAAGAACCACCAGCATGGTGGCCAAATGAAAATCGCAAAATCTGGAACAACTTGGTGAAAGTGCAGCCTTAACCAAGGCTAATGTCCATGAGAGCTGGTGGTTTGTCATCCGAAAGAAAAGAAGTTGAACAAATTGAACACAGAGATATTAGCTGACAGGATTACAATAAAGATATACTAAACTGAAGATGAGAAAAAGATGCTTGAAGAACTCTTAACAGAATTAGACAACAAGGAACAAATAAAAATGAATATTAATCAGAAAATAAATACAGGTATCAACATGATATCTGTATCATCAACTATGGATTCTGAGAAGCCTTGTAGAACAGTGGAGAAATCAAGGGGTAGGATTCAATCAAGTAATCAAAATGTTTGTTTAAGCTCTTGATGATAGTTCTGTGCAAGCACATCACTCATTTATGTGACACATACAAGCTACAATGATGAATGTGCATTCCTTGACCCACTAAACTACAACTCCCAGAAGAACTACTCAGCATGACTAATTAGGTTCCCCAATCTCTCTCTCTNCCCCCCCCCAGGAACACTCTACAAACCTCCTGAGGGCTATTCATGCCTTCTTTTGGAAAAAAATGGGCCCATTTTCATGAAAAAATGGGCCATTTTTGGGAGGTTTGCAGAGTGCAATAACTCTTTTAAAAAAATTTGCCTCTTCAAAATCTTGGTGGGTCTTATACTCCGGTGCGTCTTATACTCTGAAATATATGGTGTCATCTATTGTGCCTCAGAAAGACAATTTAAGAAAAAAGAAGTTGACTCAGCAATTGAATAGACACTTATAGAAAAATGGTTTGATGAAGCCATTATTCTGTTGTAATTTAACTTTCTGTATTAAATGAACAGAATTTTACCATGACTGATGAAAATCCATAAATGAACACTTTGACTACATCACTCAATACTCTTAACATGGAGGAAGTTTGAAAATACAGAACACTGAAGAATATCAACAAATATTGTCTACTGTGCTCCAAGAAACAGGTCCACTGGGAGAAGTTTCACAAGTTATTCATGTATCAAAATCACTGCACAGAATCAGATAAATTCAAGGTTTTTCAACTCCCTGTCCATTTGCAGAACTGCCTGCCTACCAACAATCACAGATAATTCTATTCTTCTATATGCAAGTGAAAAAGTAACACTGTAAATAGCTAAACAAAGATACCAGTTTGTTACATGATATCTATAGTTCAGAGATAGCACACATTATGTTTTCCTCACTCCCAGACTGTGCTTTTTATTCATAGGAACCCATGGAGTTTACAACCATTTCCCATAGGGGCTGTTTAAGTGTAAACTCCTGATATTTAAGCTGGTGAAACAAATCAGATTGCTGGCTGCTGAAGATACATCTCGCAAATGTATTTTCCACAACTACAACAACTAGAAATCTTTTCCTAACGTGTTGAAAGTTGAAACTCACAGGATGTTATGTTTTTCATTATTTCAAGTGGATCTGTTGGAAACCTGACATATATTGGAAACTCATGGGATCATCAGATTTACCAATGGTCAGGTCAGGTCAGGTCCTTCCTTGTTAAAATATGAACATCTAACACAACCATCTTTGGAATGGAACTATAGCTCACCACTGAACTATGAAGATTAGCTGCTATGTGAAATACATGACAATAATCTTCCAAAATTTATGGGTCATATGAGATTCAAGCATACAGAAATGGTAGCTAATGGAATTAAAAGCCAAGTGCAATGGAATTCATATAAACACATTTTGAGTTAGTTTAGATTTTGAACAGCTTCCCCTTGGGGCTCCTGGGGGGGCGGGGAGAAATAATCTCATATGAGGAAGCATTATATGAAGTGGCTGAAAATATGTGTCCATTTAATTAAGAACCCCATTATTTCTATAATTGTTAATTTCAGAGCTGCTAGAATCATAACTACTTATGAATTGGATAAACATATATTCTAGATTTATACACATTTTAAGTGTTTCACATGATTCTAAATGACACTTGCTTCAACTAAATCTTTTTACTGGTTAGATACAAGTATTACCGTAGTCCCATGAAGTGTTTAATAATTCAG